GAGGCCTGCGCTCCGGCGTCGCAGTTTTTCAGCTGTGGTCGCCGGTGTCGGCCTTTGTGCCTCTGCGCCTGGCCGGGCTTGCCCGGCCCCGTGTCTTAACCTGCGGGTCTGTATCTGTCCGCGAGTCCCCGTCCCCCGCTGTCCCTGTGGAGCGCTTACCCCGTGTGTTACGAGGTTTCTACCGAAGGGTTTGGAGATGGGGGTGTTCTGGGGCTCTTGCCATCCCTGTCCTGTTTCAGCGAATGCTTATCCGGATCTGGCCTGCCTGTCTTCCGGGTTGGTGCCTTACCTTGCCTGTCTTCTCCTTCGGGTGCATATCTCTGTCCTGGTCTTCACGTCTCGTTTTTACCCACATCCCTGTCGCTTCCAACCTCCGAAGATCCTTTCCAGGAATGTTTGCTGGATCTACACTATGAATCCTTCCTCCTGGTTTCTAGTCTGATGAGGTGTGATGCCCCTCGCTCTGGGATCAGCCGCTGCTCCCCGTGGCATCGGGCAGGCGACATCTGACTCCAGAAGCTGGGTTTCCTAGGTTTACTTTGACTGGAAGTGTTCACAGTTCCTTCCTCTCAGGCTTCTGTGCGTCTGGAGTGAGGTGTGTCTGTGGAGTGCCGCTCCTTGTCTGGTGTGGAGGGTGCAGTTGGGACCTCTGGTTTTTTAAATGCTTTAGAGATTTTGTTTCATGCAGTAAGCATTTGATATCAGTCACTTGAGTTTCCCTTGAAGAATTTTGCCATGTCATTTGTGCTTTGCCTAATTGAATAATTTTCTTTGGGTCAATTTAACTTGAAAACGCTCATTCTAAGCAGTATTTGTGAAAGCTTGGCTCGGATGTGTTGTAGCATACTTTTTTCTAACACTTGAAGCCAGCATGTGGTATTAAGATAGGGCATCTTAGGATGCCACTCTTGCAAGTGTGCTGTTCTTCTCTGATAAAAATAGCAAACAGTGTTATTGAGCGGCTACTATCTGTGGGGCACAGAGCCAAGCGCTGTATGTGCCATGGTACTTAATCAACAAGCTTGCCAGGTAGGCGTTGTTTTCTTTCGTTTCAGAGTTAAGGAGGTTTCATTACGAAATCTCGAGGAGGTTTGCGTTGCTGTTAGCAGATGTGGCTAGGATTTGAACCTAAACGTGTTCTTTTCCATTATATTCCATTTTTCTTGTTTCTTACTTCTCAGGCCCAAGTGTTTGTATGCTTGTCTATTTATTTACTTTTTCCTATTCTTTATTTGCTTTGTCCTGTTGTTTCAGTGCCTCTGTCTGTCCTCGCCTCTGTTTTCCCATGTTTGTGTCATGTCTTTGGCTCACTGGTTGGCCCCCCTGCCCAGGTTTCTCTCTGACTCTCCCCTCTTCCCTCATTCACTTTCTTGTCAGGTCTTGTTTTTCCCGTATTTGTGACAGTGTCTTTGTCTTGGTGGGTCTCGCTGAGCCTGTCCTGGGACCATGGCCGCTCTTTCTCACGTGGAAACATCTGAGTTGAAGGCAGCGGCAGCCTCTGTCATTCACCCACCCGGCTTGGGTCACGTAGGGTTCAGTGAATGGGCGTCTGACCTTCCTCGGCCCCAAGGCTGTTTCAGCTGTGAGGTGTGTGTCCCTGGGTAAAGGAGGTAACCTTTGGGTCTCCTTCCACGCAGGGTGGTTGTGCATCAGAGTTAGTGTGTGTGCAGCACTCAGGAGGTGCATAGCGTGAGATGGGAGCTGTGGAAGTGCCTGCTGGTGTCTTCATTTGTTTGGTCCTCACCATTCTGTTTGTCATTGGTGTCACCAAAAGCTAACTTAGTTAAGGTTAATTTATTTCTATTTTACTTTATTTTATTTTTGGTACCAGAGATCGAACTCGGGACCTTAAGCTTGGGAGGTGGGCAGGGGCACCACTGAGCCAAATCCCCCGCTCCGTTTAGGTTAATTTATTTTTATTTATTTATTCATTTATTTATTTATTTATTTATTTATTGGTTTTTTGAGGCAGGGTCTCACTACGTAGCTGAGACTGACCTGGAACTCACTATGTAGCCCAGGGTGGTTTCAAACTCACAGCGATCCTCCTGCCTCATCCTCCTGAGTGCTGGGACTACAGGCGTGCGCCACCATGCCTGGCTCATTTAGATAAATTTAAAAGTATGAGTTTTGAAGAATTCAGGTGGGTCTTGGGTTGCGGCTGTCACATCACTCTCAGGGTGACTGACAGAGCAATTTAACCTCAGGAGCCCAGTGTCCTGCTACAGTGTTAAATGAGATAGTAGATGCCTGCTTCCTAGAGAGCACCTGGTACCTGGCTGGGACCCAGCACTGGGGCTGCTGTGTTCCTTCTCTCTCCTCCCTGCCTGTGGGTCTCAGAGTCTCCAGTTATCCCCCACCTCTCGCTGCCCTGGGACACCTCCCTGTCATCTCTGCTCGCTGTCCCCCATTTCTTCATTCTGCCACGGATGCCCCATTCCAGGGTCTTTCTTGCTGTCCTCTTCCTGCAGCATTTATTAAATGACTCTTCCAGGCTAGTGGCTCTGTAGGGAGCCACTACTCCTCATGGGGCCGTGGGTTAGCCATAACTACTACAGAATCAGGAGTTTAAAATGACAAGGGTGACAGTCTACCGATGAGGCCCCCTGGGATGGTGAGTGTGGTGTTGGGGTGTGCATTTGGGAAGTGAGGTGGAGTCCCTGGTGGAGAAGTAGGAAGAACGTGACCTTAGGGCAGGTAGTCAGGTATGGCTGGCCCTCGCTATGTGCTTCCTGTCACCAGTTCCTCAGTTCCCTGATTTGTGGTACAGGACCTCATTTGACAGGAACACTGAGGTGCAAAAACTTAAGGCCTGCGGAAGTCGGTCCAGCTAAGGAGTGGCTGAGTTGAAGTGGGGACCTCTGGTGTGCCGCATGTGCCTGTGAACTGCCACTGCCTGTTCTGCCTCGCTGAGCAGAGACCTGAGCAGGAAGGGGCCAGGCACATTTGAGGAACTGAAAGATGGATGGGGCACTTTTCAGATGGAGGTTAACAAGTGCCCGCACCTCCCAGGCCACTGTCAGCATCTCATCCTCACTCTTGAGGGCCGGTGGGGATCGGGCTGGCCTGTGTTGTCTTTGTGTTTCTGAAGACCTTCTCTCCCCTCAGATGTGGTGATCTACCAGCACCTTGTGTGGCCAACCCCTGTGAGTTGCCATACCGCTCAACGCCCCGGGGGGCTGTGCGCCTCAACTCCACCACCTGGCACCATGTCAACCTCGTCGCTCCGGCGTCAGATGAAGAACATCGTCCACAACTACTCAGAGGCCGAGATCAAGGTCCGAGAGGCCACAAGCAATGACCCCTGGGGCCCGTCCAGCTCCCTCATGTCAGAGATCGCCGACCTCACCTACAACGTGGTGGCCTTCTCGGAGATCATGAGCATGATCTGGAAGCGGCTCAATGACCACGGCAAGAACTGGCGGCACGTCTACAAGGTCAGCACTGGTGCGGGCCGGTGTGACCCTGGACACCGGTGACCCCGGCTCTGGTTAAATCTCCAGCCCCCTTGTCCCAGGCACGAGGAGTTCAGACAAAGGGCTGTGCTCTGAAGCTGCTGTGTGCAGCCAAGCCCTGGGGACAGAGCTTGGTGCCTGCCAGGAGTCGGTATGTGATGGAGACAGAGGGGTAGCACAGCCCCCCTGCCCTTGTGTCTCAGTTCTGTGACACCTGTGTGCCTTAGGACTTGGCTGCCACTCAGGCTGTTGAGAGAGCAGTTCCACTGGGTGTAAATTAGACCCTGATTCACAGAAGGAAAGCAGGATTGTGCCTCAGGACATCCACGTCACTTCCAGTCACAACTGCGGGGCTGTCCCTGCTTGGAGCAGTTGTGGTCATTTACTCAGCCAGTTCCCTGTTGAACTTGTTTTGTCCAAGTGCTTTGCAGTTTTGCTTTTTCAAGGAGGGCTGCCATGGAAATCCTTGTGGGCTTGCTGTTTTCCAGAGCTGCAGTTGTGGGGCCACGTGATGCATGGGCAGGTGGTTTGGTAAATGTGGCCCCAACTGGCACAGACCCCATGCTGTGCGCCAAAGGCAAGGTGACCGTGTAGGATTCCTCCTGTGGTCTTCTGG